CGACACCATGGCTGCTTGCCTGAGGTCCCTGAGGTACGGCCTGCCCCCGAGAGTACCTGGGAGCGGGAATTCCGTCCGAGGAAGCGCAGAAGGAGGGAGATTGCTGACCCGGGCTGCTGCAGGAGGGTACCGAGTGCAGGTCAGGAAAGGCTCGTCACGTTGTTCGGGGGGAAAAGGAGGGGTATTTTGAGGACGTCTTGGGGTCATTTTCCGGGTGTTGGGGGAAGGGAGGGAAAGGGATAAAGATGTAATAGAATATGAGAGGTCGTTTGATTGTTATTATTCTCATTTTTATGTTGGTAGGACACGTTGGATATTTTCTATGTATTTTCTAATTATTTCGTTAATTGTACAGTAACTACTGTTTATTATTATTGATTACCACAGTTGATTGATAAACAAGTGAAATAACTGATTATTAACTACCGTATTCGGGTTTGATGTCTTATCACTAATGTCGTCAGTAGCAAAGAACCTTGAGATCTATATAGATATGTGCAGTTTAGTGAAGAATTTAAATAAAATTCCCTATAAAACATAAATGTGTTGGTAAGTCTTCATTATAGGACTGTGTAGAAGCAGAGAATAGCAAAGATAATGTCTTATCAGAGCCTGCAAATCTGTGCTTGTTCAGCAAATATTCACCTTAAAAATTCTGGCGAGGCAAAGCTTATCTGCTCCCCTGGCAATCTGTCGTCAAATGAGGAATCGGTCTAAGCTCAGCCTTGCAGCGTGAGTTGGGGGGGGGGGGGTTGCCGGAGCACAAATTGAGAGGCTGGAGTGTTGTATGGTCTAGTCCTACTTTTTAAATTTTTTTTTCAATACTTGATTTATTTTTATGCATTAATCCACTGCTGGTGGTGTCATGTATGTCCTTGCAATGGTAAGATATGTACCTCCATACCATGGGTGATTGACCCTGCTCTAAGTTGTGTGGACTCGATTGTTGTTCACTGAAGATTTACATTCCGTCAAGAGGAGGCTTAAAGTCACTTCCTAGCCTTGTTTCCTCATTTCAAAAATTGTAGAGTGTAAAACCTGCACATCTGATATATATATATATATATATATATATATATATATATATATATATATATATATATATATATATATATATTTAACCCCTTGGTGCCGGGTATGACGTGTACGTACGTGCTATGCCCACAGTGAGTACTTGTTTGATTGTTTTTACGCATAGATGGCAACACTTGTACTAAATCACCAATGAGCCAGTTACAAGCACCGCCCGTCTCGACGGTTTACCCGTTTCTTTGATTTACGAAATATTTTACGTAATCTTATTTTGCTGTTACTAATGTTAAAAAAATATATAAAAATTATAATGTTTATGATAAAAATAACACCATCGATTTTCATAGCACTGGTGAAAAATACGTTTTTCCCGCCATATAAATCAGGCGCTAGCAGAGCCATCTATCGGCAGACATTTCACGAAAAACATAGAAAGTGGGCACAATATTTTCCCCATTTTTTGTTCATTTTCCCCGGCACCATTGGGATATATATATATATATATATATATATATATATATATATATATATATATATATATATATATATATATATATATATATATATATATATATATATATGTATATGTATATATATATATATGTATATGTATATATATATGAAAGCAGCACATGAAATATTTATTTAAACCACTCATGATGGGAGGTCCCTGTGCCATATCAAATAACAAGTTGGGGTGAGTCAACTGCTGAAGTAAAACATTATAAGTACAGGAAACATGAAATAACCCCACTCTGTGATTTTAGTTATGTTGTAAATGATTCTTTAACCCATTCACCCCACGTGGCAAGAATAGATGCCATACCCACTTTGATACACATTTATTTATTGTATTTACACATAGATGGTTCCACAAGTTCTTAATCACCAAATAGCCAGTTATCAAGAACTACCTATTTCACCTGTTTACCCTTTTCCTTCACTATAGGAAAGTTTTTTTTTTTTTTTTGTATTATTTAATTGTCTAAAATATTCTAATGACAATTTAATAATCATAACATCAATAACAATAATAACAGTATCGATAGCAATGGTATTAATATTCCTGCCAATTCAATGAATGGGAAAATCAAGGTCGGTAACAAAATTCACCAAAAACTACAGGGGACAGAACATAAATCCGGGGCGAATGGGTTAAGATACTAAGGCTGAATTAACCAATTCGCCACGGATTTATGTTCTGTCCCCTGTAGTTTTTAGTGAATTATGTTACATACAGATGGCTCCACATGTACTCAGCCGGCAAGGAGTCTATCAGTAGGCCCTAGTTACCGACCCTGATTTTCCCATTCATTGCATTGGCGGGAAAATTAATACCATTGCTATCGATACTGTTATTATTGTTATTGATGTTATGATTACAAAGTTGTCACTAGAATATTTTAGACAATGAAATGATACAAAAAAAACCTTTCCAAAAGTGAAGGAAAAGGGTAAACAGGTGAAATAGGTAGTTCTTGATAACGGGCTGTTTGGTGATTAAGAACTTGTGGAGCCATCTATGTGTAAATACAATAAATAAACGTGTCTCAAAGTGGGTATGGCATCTATTCTTGCCAAATGTGGCGAATGGGTTAATGCTTTAAGCATTCTTATGAGGGGCTCTTCTTCCTCAGTAACCACTGTGCACATAGATGGCTCTGCAAGTCTTTGCAACAAAGAAGTCAATGACCTTACCAGATACCATCTTTCCTTGAACTTGCAGGAATTTTTTTTTTTTTTTTTACTTATGCTGTGAATATTGATGGTGTTAGTTTTATTATAGTCATGATGATTTCTATAATATAGAAGCTTGGCCAACTTCAAGCAGGCTCAACTGAATATAACTTGAAAACATTAGTGCAGTGTGAGGGATTGTCTGCTGTAGAATAGGATGATAGAGAACATATGAAAAATGGGATAATGTTACTGAGAGCGACACACAGAGATAGAGGGAAATGGTCTCTGCTTTCTTATAGAGCTAAAGAAATAGAGTAATAAACAACTCAAGTATAGCTGCTCTGGCCTCATATTTACTGTGAAATAAAAATGTCCAAAATACTCTCACACAGCCAGAGTTCTTAATGTCGCATTTTCTGTGAGTTGGCATTAAGTGCTAATAAAGGGGAGCTTGCTTAAGTTTGTTTTTTGGGTTTGCAAGATACCCTGGTTTTGGGACTTCATCTCTGGAGGGTGAATTGCTCTCAGTAGCAAGTACAAAAAAATGCATAAAGGGATGAGAATCTGTAGAATGGAAAAGTAAAGCCCAGTCTATGCACATGAGAATGATGCTGTGGTCCACATGCTTAGTGCTCATACATAGGAAACCAAACCTCTACTGTGTATGGCAAGATTTAATAGGTTAATCACCCTGGCAGTTTATCATCAACTAGGGAACAAGTCTGAGCTGTATTTTGCTGAGTGCATTTGGGGCATGTTTGCCAGCCGTTGCTATAGTGCAAGGTGTGGACGCTAGGGTGTATCTTCATGCGTTCTTTTTCTGAAGAATTACTCACTGTGATGACTCAAGCCTTTGATGTAGCCAAAGCCACAAATTTCCCACGTATATTCTGGCAAGGTGGAGCTTATAAACCTCCCTGGCAATATGATATAAAATAAGGAAAAGGTTGTTTTGGTCTCCTTATCTTCAGTACATTGGTAGAAACCAACAAACCTTTTCCACACACATTCTAAAGAGACAGAGCTTGTTGGCCTCCCTAGCAAATCATTGTCATACAAGTCCATGAATCACATCAGAATGTACTGAATGGTAGAAGATTGTAAGTCTTGGCTGGAGTTCCAAAGGCATAGTGCTTGCTTGGTATGGTATGGAAACTAAACATTCTGTAAGTTTCCATACCATACCAGGCAAGTACATGATCAAATGTACTTGCCGGCAGGAAAATGCTTTGCCCATTTTTCATTTTTTGTGAGATGTCTGTGCACATAGATGGCTCTGCAAGGCTAAGCAATAAAGAAGTCAGTAGCCCTTGTGACATTACCTGATTTCGCCTTTCCTTGAATTTGTGAGAAAAACATTTTTTTACTCAAGATTTAATATTGATGGTGTTATTTTTATTATAGTCATGATAATTTCTATGATATTGACATTAGTAACTGCAATATAAGGTAACATAAAATATTTTTGAAAATCAAGGATAAAGATATATAGGTGAAACAGGTAGTACTCGTAATGGGCTCATTGGTGACTTGTGCTTGTGGAGCAATCTATTTGTAAGAACAATTAAGAAAATAAATTCATAGTGGGCATGGCACGTACGTATATGCCATGCCTGTTAGTTTTGGGTTAATAAAACTAATTACCAAAATCCAAGGAAAACAAGTTGATTCGATAAGAGATAGATAATGATTAGGGGCACAAGACTGCTTAATTTATAGCCCTGCATACATTGGTTCAGAGTCCAACACCCATACAAACTTTCTGCGTGTTTCAGAGGTGCTCACTCTCGGTTTATTTTAGTCGGTATTACCAGCGAATGAATTAAGAAAAAAAAAATTATCTTTGTGTTGCAGGAAAGTGTGCAAAGTGCACCTTGCACACCTCTTCACCAGAGCAGCAAATCATGGAATCTGATCCAACAGCAGCAACACCTGGAAGAAGGATCATACTCAGCTCCAGATTTAGCTCTTGGCGAATCACCAATCACAATGTTGGAAGTATCTGATTGGTTACATAAATTACAGGTGTGTAAGAAAAAAAAAAAAAAAAAAAAAGAAGGGTGTGTATATGTGACTTGGTGATAATGCTGTGATGTAGCTAGCTTATGAATTCAATAACCTTGTGATAAAGTTGATCTCAGTCTTGTAAAGAGATTTGATAAGTGAATATTCATATTAATGCTTGCATACTCTATTAGTCCTTTGCTATTAAACTTGTCTGTAATATTTTATTCTGTTTTTTAAAGATTTATGGATGTCTCTAAAGTTAAATACAAAATGACTGTGTGAATTGAGTACATTCATGTTGTAGAATACTGAAAAAAGAAAAGTAGGTGAATGGTTTTGAATAACTTTTTTCTTTGTATGGCCATAGTATTAGACTGTTTGTGTTTGTCCTGTCTCAAAAATATTTTCTGTGTAAAACTGTTTATGTAAGTATAGATGAAGATGCTAGTACTGACAATTTTTTAGAACAATGGCAATACCTCATACAGCAATAATTTAATTATGGAAATATCAAACAATTGGAGTCTCTTGATCGTCTAGTAATTTAGTAATGGGATTTTAGTGGAGGCGAAAGCTTTCGTTTTGTAAAATAATTTGATTGTTAAAGAATATTTAGAATTGCAGTTTTGTTTTGTCAACAAAGAGGACAAAATAATTTTTTTTGTGATCGGTGTTCATTCTCATTTATCAAAACTTTTGAATGAATATAAACCTATAAAGAGGAATGGTCTACAGTAGTACAAGTTTTTTTTTGTGTCCATCCATTTGTAACCACTCAAGATATCTATTGAATTGCCGTATTGGATAACCCATGAAGGTGTTTGTGAGCTTAGATTTCCTTTTAAGTTTTCACCTGTTTGTTTGTTTTCATAATGCCAAGTGGCTGATAATGCCATGCTAACCCTTCTCTTAAGAGTTGATTTTTAACAGTAATACAACTTTTTTTGCTCGCTCAGGCTGAACCGGTGGGCCTGGACGTGACCAGTGTATTTCGATACAGCAATGCAGTAGGAGAACATTTCCATTCTTTTGACCCCCTAGGTGTTGGCATCAGTCCAGTTTCTCAAAGTGTAGATGAAATTCAGGTAAGGCATGCACATGCACACTCATGCACCTTGCACTCACACACTCACACACACATGTACTCACACACTCACACACTCACACACACATGTACTCACACACTCACACTCACACACTCCCACTCTCACACTCCCACTTCCACTCCCACTCCCACTCCCACCCCCACTCTCACTGTCACCCACTCGCTTACTTACTCACTCACACACACACTGTCTGTCTGTCCACTTCTCACACTCATTCTTATACATAAATACAAAGTATGTTATATGTAATTTGTATGTATAGTGAGGTATGACATTCTTGATTTCTACAGAGATATTACACTTATAATGTATAATAAAGCTGAGTCTTTCATTTGTTCATATTTAGCTATTTTGCATATTGGACACCATAATATCCTATTCCCCACAATTATGGCTAGCTGCATGAAATAAGTTTTGATATTTGCCCTGACTGTGGAAGGCCAGTCAAAGCATAACAGTCTTTATCCCCCACAACTATTTTGCTATCAGTGAGACATGTAGTATCCAGTAAGATAAGTTCAATATGCAAAGCTGAGCCTTGCCCGGACTATGCCCATGAGGGGATCCCGGCTAGTATCCAGTAATACATGTTTTTCCTTCAGCCACATGCAAAATGTCACCTGTATACCCCATTCCCCTTGTAGGCCCTCTTGTCCCTTAACCCATTGCCGCCGGGGAAAATGAACAAAAAATGGGGGAAATGCAGTACTCGTTTTTTATATTTTTGTGAAATATCTCTGTCCATAGATGGCTGTGCTAGTCCTGATTTCACCTTTCCTTGAATTGGCGGGAAAAAACGTATTCTTACTAGTGCTATAAATATAGATGGTGTTATTTTTAACAGCAAATTAGGATAACATTAAATATTTTCGTAAATCGATGAAAAGGGTGAACGGGCGAGACAGGCAGTACTCGTAATTGGCTCATTGGATACTTAGTACAAGTGTAGCCATCTATGTGTAAAAACAATCAAACAAGTCGACTCACAGTGGGCATGGCATGTACGTACATGCCATCCCCGGCGGCAATGTGTTAACCAATTATTGTGCTCTTTTCCTCTCCCCTCTCTTCTGAATGTAATATTGAGTATGAATTTGTAGTTCTGGTATTATATATATTTGGCCTATTTCATCCAGCCAAACATGTGATCTTTTCCTCTCCCATGTTCCCCCCTTCAACACACCCTACTGTTATGTATTAGTTTCTTCCTGGCATATCATTGTGTTTTTGCTGTTTATAATCTAGTGGCTTTTGAATATATGTACATGTTTTATTGTTTGATATAAAAGTAAGGTTTTGATGCTTTATGTGTGTTTTATGCTATTGTTTAGTAATTTGGATATCTGGGATTTTGGAAGCTTGATTTTACACTCCAGAATTGTTTTATTGTCATGTATTACATAATGTTTTTTTTTTCTCATTAATCACACTACATCTTACATAAGAATGAAAATGCCAATAAATTATAATAATCATTTAGAGAAAACATATTTGAAGCATGGGGTGTAGTTAGATGAACTGTGGCATGTATTATGAGAATAACTACTTCACACTTCTAGCATTCCCTTAGCAAAAAGAAAGAGTGGGGAAGAATGGTTGACAAATAAAAACTAGACAAACATCCCAGGGATTCAAGATTTAGTTATGAGCGGCACTAAACTCAGTTCTAAATGATGGTTTCAAGTATTATATATCTAAGAAGATTACTTTAAAACCGTATAGAATGGTGCAGTAATAAAAAGTACATTACATGATTAAATGGCAATTGCTGTATAAGCAAATTTATTTCATGTGTTTTAACAGCTGTTATTAATTGTTATTTTAGAGACAAAATACAGACAGTAACATTAAATATGCTAAGCACACCATGGTAGCAAAGACAAGGAATTATAAGGTTAACCATAGTTGACTATAATGGATAATAGATTTTACATTTACGATGGTGTTTGATTTTTTGCAGATGAATGTATGCACAGCAGTAGTTTGCCACGATGACAACACCAGCGTGAGAACGTTCCAGCTCCCTCCAAATGCTCTCTGGTACCCTCTAGGATCCAAGCAAGAAGGAGATAAAGTAGTTTGCTCATTGAAGTACAGTCCATTAGAAGATAAAGTTTTTGAGGAATTATCTCCATCGATTCAGTATTTTGATCGAGAAGTCCCATTACAAGTTGGGGACACTTCACCCACACCTGTGCAGCTCCAAGAAATTGCAAAAGAAGATACTCTGTTTGTTAGTGACGTGACTCAAGAAAATACTGTCTACTGCAGTGATAGGAGTCCCAGTCAGTCAGACTCCGAGATGACGGGTCCTTCAGGAAAGCCAAGCATGGAGCAGCTCACTATTATTTTTGATGTTTTAAGCGAAACGGTTAGTATCCAAAATGAAAATAAAATGAAGTGTTCGTAGTTGTGGCTAAAAATGGTGAATGCTTAATTGTATTAATAGTATTTTATGACATCTTGTACAGCATATTAAGTAAACCTCATTCTAATACTTCATTTTTTTTTTCTTCTCTATCTTTCAGTTGCCAAAATTGTTTATTCAACCAATGGACTACAAAATATATTCTCAAGACATCGTTTTTGAGAACCGAATCAGAGGGACTGTCACCACGTAAGATTTTATGGTTTACGTTTTCAGTAAAGTAATAATTTGTAAAACTATTAGGGATATTGTTATGGGAACCATGATGATTTTTTTTTTTTTTTTTTTTTTTTTTTTTTTTTTTTTTTTTTTTTTTTTTTTTTTTTTTTTTTTTTTTTTTTTTTAGCTTCAACAGATTTATTTACAGCAATATCACTATTATATAAGCCGTTGCCTTGGAGGAGCTGCTGCTGTTGTAGTTATACCTTTCACATTGCTATGAATAGGTGCTCCAAGGTTCACATGGTTGGTGTTGGACAAAGGAAGAATGTGCTAGTATGTTTAGTGGCCTTTGTTAAGGATTTGCATAGGGGGAAGGGGATAGGAGGAATTACTTTGGATGTGTAAGTGGTTGTGGCAGAAATGAGGCAGAGGTGAAAGGTGTAGGCATTCTTCATAATCACACATGCTTTTCAGCCCTGTTTCAGGTGGTCTCATGTCTTTGCATTGTTATTATTCTCTCAGTTCCCCTCTAGTTATCTTTCATTCTGTCTGTTATACAGTAAATGTACTTCCGTAAGTGTACAGAGAGCAGCACAGTTATGAAGTAAAATTAGGAAATGTGTTGGAGGAAGAAAATGTGACCAGCAAGGTGTTGACCATATTACTTTTGTAACCTAATTGATAAAATAGTGTCCAGTGTCAACAAACTTGTTTCACAAAATGGTATAAGTATTTTGTAGCTATTTAGTTTTCTTTCTGCCACCCCTCCTCTAGTTTGTAAATTTTTGCTTCTTAATACAAGTTGTTATTGCAAAGTAAGTAGGCCTATTGCACTTTCTTTTTACTATGGATAATACTTAGATAATATTATCCATAATATTATCTTATTATACTGCATATTCTAGAATTCTTTAACCGTAGTTGAATTAATTCAGTCCAGTGTTTTCCACTTACAACAATGGTGTTTGTATTTACACACATTATTTATGTATTACCTAATTCTGTTTCAACATTTATCCCTACAGAGGTTTGATGGCATATGTGAAACAGGTTGCGCTTCTTCGAACAGTTGGCCATTTGAAGTTTGCTTTTGTCAAGTTTGAAATCCTGAAAATGACTAAGCATCCTGAAGATGGAACAGTCAGAGTGCGTTGGAGAATAAAAGGGCTCTCCGGCTTGAAGGTAAGGGAAAACGGACTTAATTTGTGTAATGTTGAAAAACATACCCAAAGCACAAATACAAAATCTTCATTTAGCCTCTGCCCATTATTTACTGTCTCTCTCCCTCCCTCTCTCCCTCTTATTCTCCCTCTCCCTCTTATTCTCTCTCTCCTTCCCATTCTCTCTCTCCCTCCCATTCTCTCTCTCCTCCCACTCTCTTTCTCCTTTCTTCTATATATACATATATATACATATATATGTGTGTGTGTGTGTGTGTGTGTGTGTGTGTGTGTGTGTGTGTGTGTGTGTGTGTGTGTGTGTGTGTGTGTGTGTGTGTGTGTGTGTGTGTGTGTGTGTGTGTGTGTGTGTGTGTGTGTGTGTGTGTGTGTGTGTGTGTGTGTGTGTGTGTGTGTGTGTGTGTGTGTGTGTGTGTGTGTGTGTGTGTGTGTGTGTGTGTGTGTGTGTGTGTGTGTGTGTGTGTGTGTGTGTGTGTGTGTGTGTGTGTGTGTGTGTGTGTGTGTGTGTGTGTGTGTGTGTGTGTGTGTGTGTGTGTGTGTGTGTGTGTGTGTGTGTGTGTGTGTGTGTGTGTGTGTGTGTGTGTGTGTGTGTGTGTGTGTGTGTGTGTGTGTGTGTGTGTGTGTGTGTGTGTGTGTGTGTGTGTGTGTGTGTGTGTGTGTGTGTGTGTGTGTGTGTGTGTGTGTGTGTGTGTGTGTGTGTGTGTGTGTGTGTGTGTGTGTGTGTGTGTGTGTGTGTGTGTGTGTGTGTGTGTGTGTGTGTGTGTGTGTGTGTGTGTGTGTGTGTGTGTGTGTGTGTGTGTGTGTGTGTGTGTGTGTGTGTGTGTGTGTGTGTGTGTGTGTGTGTGTGTGTGTGTGTGTGTGTGTGTGTGTGTGTGTGTGTGTGTGTGTGTGTGTGTGTGTGTGTGTGTGTGTGTGTGTGTGTGTGTGTGTGTGTGTGTGTGTGTGTGTGTGTGTGTGTGTGTGTGTGTGTGTGTGTGTGTGTGTGTGTGTGTGTGTGTGTGTGTGTGTGTGTGTGTGTGTGTGTGTGTGTGTGTGTGTGTGTGTGTGTGTGTGTGTGTGTGTGTGTGTGTGTGTGTGTGTGTGTGTGTGTGTGTGTGTGTGTGTGTGTGTGTGTGTGTGTGTGTGTGTGTGTGTGTGTGTGTGTGTGTGTGTGTGTGTGTGTGTGTGTGTGTGTGTGTGTGTGTGTGTGTGTGTGTGTGTGTGTGTGTGTGTGTGTGTGTGTGTGTGTGTGTGTGTGTGTGTGTGTGTGTGTGTGTGTGTGTGTGTGTGTATGTGTATATTTATGCATGCATGCATGTATAATAATAATAATAATAATAATAATAATAATAATAATAATAATAATAATAATAATAATAATAATAATAATAATAATAATAATAATAATAATAATAATAATAATAATAATAATAATAATAATAATAATAATAATAATAATAATAATAATAATAATAATAATAATAATAATAATAATAATAATAATAATAATAATAATAATAATAATAATAATAATAATAATAATAATAATAATAATAATAATAATAATAATAATAATAATAATAATAATAATAATAATAATAATAATAATAATAATAATAATAATAATAATAATAATAATAATAATAATAATAATAATAATAATAATAATAATAATAATAATAATAATAATAATAATAATAATAATAATAATAATAATAATAATAATAATAATAATAATAATAATAATAATAATAATAATAATAATAATAATAATAATAATAATAATAATAATAATAATAATAATAATAATAATAATAATAATAATAATAATAATAATAATAATAATAATAATAATAATAATAATAATAATAATAATAATAATAATAATAATAATAATAATAATAATAATAATAATAATAATAATAATAATAATAATAATAATAATAATAATAATAATAATAATAATAATAATAATAATAATAATAATAATAATAATAATAATAATAATAATAATAATAATAATAATAATAATAATAATAATAATAATAATAATAATAATAATAATAATAATAATAATAATAATAATAATAATAATAATAATAATAATAATAATAATAATAATAATAATAATAATAATAATAATAATAATAATAATAATAATAATAATAATAATAATAATAATAATAATAATAATAATAATAATAATAATAATAATAATAATAATAATAATAATAATAATAATAATAATAATAATAATAATAATAATAATAATAATAATAATAATAATAATAATAATAATAATAATAATAATAATAATATAATAATAATAATAATATAATAATAATAATAATATAATAATAATAATATAATAATAATAATAATATAATAATAATAATATAATAATAATAATAATATAATAATAATAATATAATAATAATAATAATATAATAATAATAATAATATAATAATAATAATAATATAATAATAATAATATAATAATAATAATATAATAATAATAATATAATAATAATAATATAATAATAATAATAATAATATAATAATAATAATAATATAATAATAATAATATAATAATAATAATAATATAATAATAATAATAATATAATAATAATAATAATATAATAATAATAATAATATAATAATAATAATATAATAATAATAATAATATAATAATAATAATATAATAATAATAATATAATAATAATAATATAATAATAATAATAATATAATAATAATAATATAATAATAATAATATAATAATAATAATATAATAATAATAATATAATAATAATAATATAATAATAATAATAATAATATAATAATAATAATAATATAATAATAATAATAATATAATAATAATAATATAATAATAATAATATAATAATAATAATATAATAATAATAATATAATAATAATAATATAATAATAATAATATAATAATAATAATATAATATTATTAATATTATAATAATAATAATAATAATAATAATAATAATAATAATAATAATAATAATAATAATGATGATAATAGTCATTAATGATTTTAGGGCTTGAAATGAAAGACCAGCAGTCAAAAAACTCCGGATTTAAGATTTTAGTTTTGCAATGACGATGTATTCATGATAATATGAAATGGTATATACTATGAGTTATATTTTGTTCTTTTGCTGTTACAGGAAATGGTGTTTATGATCATGTGTTTATGAATGTGTTATTAATATTTATATATTTTTTATCAATTATTTTTTACAACCAGGGAAATACTGGCCATGCAGCAATAACACTGAAATAAACCTAGACCATTTGTAGAAATATGCAGAATTATAACATGCTAAGTGGATGACAAGCTTATATATCCATTACCCCTTTTGTACAATAGCCAGTTTTGGAGGGTAGAAAGAAATACAGGAATGAAGATGCACATATCTTTGTATCTTTATTTATATGTGTATTCTTTCTTTTGTGACAGCTTCAGTATTTGCCAGTGTCCTTGCTTATCATTTTATGGGCAAACATATCTCAAATGAAGAGAAAGAGCAATGTAATGAGAAATACATACATGCAAGAGCTTTAGAGCAGTAAATACATCCCCAATTGTAATTTAATTTCCACTAGAAAATTGACATTGCTACCTTACAGGTGGAAAATGTCTATTTCTGACCGTAACCGAATGCTACATTCCTAACACTACAACTTCTGTTTCCTTGCCTATAGTTATATCGCATCAGACCGCCAACATAGTGTCTTAGAAGGGTGTTCAGGATTGCTTGTGTCAATTGGCCTTTCCAGGTATTTGTTGATTTTGATGATAATGCCCCTCCACATGTGTCATTTTATCATGCTGTGACTATAACCACACCTTGTAGTATTGACCAAGAAAAAATAGCAACTCTTCAGGTGCTGCTTAACCTTTTGTCACCGGATGATAGGTTTTGATTGTTTTGTGTAATGTTAATTACTTTCTTTAAAAAAAAGATAGTAATGGCTGTGATCAGAGTTGCAAAGGGTGGTCAAAGATTAAGTATTCATATTGTTTGGTACCCAGCTCTCCCTATCTTTGTCATTAAAATATGAATGATAATAGTAGAGTAGGATTCCAATTGTAGTCCTTACCAATATAGAACTGTTATTACTTCAGTTATTTCTTTGCTTGTTGTATATAACTGTAGCAGCTAATAAAGCTATAGGACTTAGTTCATCTTTTAATGAAAAAAAAGCAGTTGATGTAAATGTATGATATGGGTGGCAGGAATTCTGAAAATGTTGATAGTGTCCCTTGTTGATTTTGTGTGTATAAAGTGTATATACTTATTGAAAATCAGATTTATTTAATATTTTATGTATATATTTAATGAGTTGTACATAAATTAAGGTGTAATAAAAAGTTATTGACATTTAGGTATTTTCTTTTTGCTTTAGAATTATTTAATGTATACCTATGATAAACAAGAATTGCTTTAGAGGAACTAGACCCATTCACCTGTTTGTGAGTACCTTTCATACACAGATTTCAGATGTTATGTTCACCTATTTCAGTGCAGTTATGTGCTAATTGCAAAAAATACAGTGCATTAATTTTATGAAACATTATGGGAATTTAGATAAACTGCATTTTACAACAGTGATTTTTTGTGTAAGAAAGGTTATCCCTCATACTGCATAAATATCCCAAGTAATGAGGAAGCATGGGTATTCTGTGTATATGGTCAAGTTATAATTCATATAGTCAAGGTGAGTGTCATTCATATTTAGAAGATATCAATAGGAAGAATAAATTTTGGTATGATTTATATTTATATTCACTCATTGTACTCATTGCTAGTATGGAATAATGATATCAGTAATGCTTAAGCAGTTTATTACTAGTGCATCAAAATCACATCTGATTCAGCTGATAAGGGTTAAAGGACTTCTATTTTACAAAGAAAATGTGGGGTGACATCAATGAATGGGCAGCATCACCAACCCCTAACTACAGACAACAGTACAATTTTATATCAAACAACTACTATATGGGATAACAGACTACTTGTTTGACAAATATCTGACAAACTGTAATTCACATGCACTATCTGCATCAGTGTTTCCATTCAAGTACATGGTGAAAGTATTATAGTGGAAAAAATGGAATTGTGTGAAATTCAGAGGATTACTGTGATCATGACATTAGAAATGGGAAAGGTTCTAATTGTCCCTAAGCACACTCAGTAATGTTGCAGAATTGCAAGTTGCCATATTGGTTGTTGTGTTTGTAATATAAATATATATATAGGAAACTATATATATATATATTCACACTATATGTATTCACAAATATTCATGTTTTTTCAAGGTGATGAAGAATTAAGTTCATCTTAACAAATTCTAGTGAATATATGGGTATTATTACTGATTTTAAGGATAAATAGAT